AGCAGAAGTAAAAAAAAAAAAAAAAAAAAAAAAAGAATCTTGTTATCATTACTTTCAAGATTCTTTCGGAAGCTCCTAATCCAGCGATATTTGAGAATTTTAGGACTGAAATGAATAATTGAAATAACCAAAATAACTCCAGTTATCCTATGTACAGGGTTTATACAAGAATGAGTAACTCTTATTTAATGCTTTTAGAAATAATCTTAATGCCATCAACAAGTACCCATGAGTTTATATATATATATATATATATATATATATATATATATATATATATATATATATATATATATATATATATATGTACACGGCAAAATGTACACGGCAAAATCAGTGGTCATCTTCACCGTGGACAGGCTGCAGCCCTGTCCCGAGTTCCTCGTTTTCCCGCCACTTTGGTTCAAATTTGCATTTTTCCCCATTTTCTAGCCTTTTCTCCGCCTCAAGATGCTTTTGCGAAGTATTTTAATGCCACGATTATCAAATTTAATGAATTTTAATGTCAATTAAGGCCTTAATTTAAAAAATAATAATTTTAATGACCCGCAGAAACCCTGTATGTAATGCCATTTGTATGGCAAATAAAGAAAAACAATGGTTTTAATGGATGCATTCTACATCCACTATAAACTTTCTAAATAAACTAAAACCTCAACTTTAGTTTGTCCAAAACAACATTTTAATATTTTATTTTGAAGATTAAAAAAAGGGCAACTGTTTATTCAAATTTGTCATTGTTTCAAAGACCTGACTGCAGACGTTTTGTCACACTTGAGAAGCACAGGTGTAATTAAAACCATCAGGAACTAATGTTCAGCTCTAAGTGCCCTCAGACGCCATGACAGCATGACAGGGACTTTCCATGCACAGTGGTGGGACCTGAAAACCAAAGAAAACTAAATGATCTTTGGCCATTATTTCTTGTATGTGGGCTTCAACTCATGTCATGTGACATTTTCACTTGTCTTCAAAAATCGTTTTTCTCTCACATTGAGGCGAACAAAAAAGAAAAATGTGCTGGTCAAAAACTAAACTTGCCAACAGGTAGAAAACATTCCTGCAAAGGTAAACTGATTATGTATCAACAATAAATAAATTATAGCAATTTTTTTAGACTCCAGACAGATTTTATAAAAAAAAAAAAAAAAAAAAAAACTAGAGATGTGATTTATTTGAAACAAAATAAGATATAAAGCTTTTGCACATAAATGATTGATAGTGTAGTGTTCACATGAAAACCCTAAAATGAAATCCGCTAAGAACTGTGTCACAGGTTAGCAAAGGCGACAACTCTCACTGTGTAATACACTTAAGATATACAGGCGTTTAATTACACTGCTGTCAAATCAATACTTTCAATAAACATGGACAAAAATAATTGATTAAATACCCTCTAGATATTTGGAGTGGTTTTTAACAAAATGCGATTTAGCACAGAAAATTAGCCTTTGTTGTTTTGTTCTTTATGTACAGTAGCACTTCACATTGGCGGCTGCCAGTTTCAGTTATTAATTTATACCAAACCCATATCCTCTACCAAGGGTTGCAGGTCTTTCAATAACTCAAAACACTTTATAACTAAAAATAACTATCTAAATGTCTTAGATAGTGTTCTATTAATTTTATAATAATAAACATAACTTATTAGTTATTTGCTCAAAGAATAACAGCTGCTCTCATCTTTTTAAATAAAACTTCTAAAAGAATAAAACAACACTGTAATAGTGTTAATTTTTTTTTACTTTAAGTTATAATACTATGGAGACGTCTTCACAATTATAATTATATATTTTTGGATTGAAAAAAAAAAAATACTCACACTATACTGTGTATATGGACATAATCAAAATAAAACAGCCCAATGTGTCACATAAACATTTGGTTGTTTTTTCTAAAAACAGCCAGCCAGAGCGAGTGGCCACCCAATACAAAAAGGCGTCACATTGAAGGCTGCCCCACGTACACACTAAGAATCAGCTTCCTCTTTCAGAATAACTTGATCATGTCAAGCGTTTAATGCACGCCTTTTAAGGGGGACTACTTCCACATTCTGCCGAATCCAATCGAAATATTCCGACGTTTTTAATCGAATCAGCTGTAAACATAACTGCAGAATATTAATCTTACTGGAAACACAAGAAGACCAAAATCAGAAAAGAACCTTGTTATTTTAGTTGTCTTTCTTCACATTTACAGAGTGTAGAGCATCCCCCTCAGGTTGCAAGGATACTGTACATCTTCAAGTGGTAAACTGTGGTATGAATATGCTGCTGCATTGGCTAAGAATATCTAGAAACCACAGAATTATTAACCTAATGTTTTATTTGTGCAGGAAAAATGTGAGAGCCTTCTTCCAGCCAGCTGACCAGCAGTACCAAAAAAGCTTTTCTCACGAAGACATTAAAACCATAAGAATGGAAAAAACCCCAAAACTAAATTTAAACAATAGAAAATCTTCACTCTTAAAACCTAGACACTCATAACTGACGTAATAGAAATTATGAGTCAAAATAATGTGTACTAATAAGGCTAAAAATTTTATTTCTCTATAAACTGTGTTAAAAAAAAAAGTGAAAGCAGCCCTGTTGAGAGAAAAGTTCTTTGACACTTATAACAGGGTTTAAGTTTTGTCTTTTTTTTAATGTATTAAATTTATACTATAATAAAAAGATCAGATTTACCTCCTGTGGTTTCTGTGTCTCCTCCTTCCTGTGGCGCAACTGAGTTGACGGTCACAGTCTGAAGATTTGGAATCTGACCTGCACTGATGCTGCCCAGAGAGAGGGTCTGGACTGGTGCCAGGGTTATCTGCTGGGGGGGTGTGGTGGGCAGCTGCAGGTTCTGAAGATTCTGCACTCCTTGTACCTGAAAGGTCTGCCATTGAATCTGACCCGAAGGAGTGACTGTCTGAGCTTGTATGATGAAGGTTCCTGGGTTGATGAGTTGAACGTTTTGCAGGTTCTGTCCTCCGGAAGTGACAGATTGGACCACTTGGCCGTTGGCGGTCTGAAGGGGCACCTGCTGCAGCTGGATGATGGACTGACCCGAGGAAACCTGGACGTTCTGATCCTGATTTTGTTGGAGGAAGCTTTCTTGCAGAGCAGCACCTGAGTCTGCTTGTCCTGTTGCCACCGGCTGTAAAGAAGGGTCTTGCGTCTGCAGATTGGTTTCATTTGCTGGAACGTGTAATTGAGAGGAAGACGTTGGCACAAATATCTCCGTATTTGCATTTGAGTTATGTCCGGTTAGTGTCTGTGAGAGGTGATCGTCTGTCTTGTTCAAACTCTCAGTGTTATCTCCAGGCTGATTCGCCATTATCAGCTGACCATCAGCAGTGACCCCCGTCGCTATAGTCTGAGCACCCGACAGGCCAAGGGAGTCCAAGTCAACACTATTAATAGGAACAAAAGTAATGTTCCCAGGCAGGCCCACAGGCACGTTGGTAACAACCTGGCCCTGGTTGTTAAAAGTGGAACCGCCAAAGGAAACCCCTTGAATCTGCTGGACACTGCCAGTCTGTGAAATGAGGTTTTGGTTGTTAAGGATGTTTGCAGATGATGCCACGTTGAGACTCTGGCTCCCATCAGGCAAGATCTGAATCTGCCCTGTGCCATCCTGAGTCAGAGTTGGCCCTTCTACACCAGACGTGGAGAAGCTCAGCTGTCCGTCTGCTGTCTGAATCTGAGGAATCACTTGGTACTGAATGTTAGGCACTGAATTGGCAGAAGAGGCGTCTGTGCCAGACGTCACAAAAATCGGCTGACTCTGTAAGCTTTGGAGAGGAAGAACATACTGTCCATTTGATGTCAATATTCCTTGGCTCTGGATCTGTATCATTCCAGACTCATCCTTTGCTGCTGTTGTGGGGGTTAGCACTTCCCATTTCTCAGTCCCTGTAAGCTGAGAAGATGGCTCCGATGCCTGAGGGAAATAAAAAGAAGAAACTTAATAGTAAGGACAGTTGTTTTTTTTCCACACTATTAAGAAAAAAAAGGAAAAAAAGCAGTAGGAAATTGAAGAACAAATTAAAATAGAAAGAACTCTTTAGCGACAATCAAATCTATTCGACTTTGATCTTGATTGCATGCTTTAATCTACTCTAGAGACTCTAGTCTTGAGTTGGATTGTGTAAAGAGGATTTTTTTTGAGTAGATACACTTTACCTTTGCCACAAGTCAAGAAGAACAAAATGATTCACTAGGGAGGAAAAACAAAAGCAAGTCCAGCTCTGGTGAAGTCATCACTTCACACATGGTTGCAACATGGCTCCCATTTAGAAAAGTTTCTACATATTTACAGCGTTACATTTACAGACATGCCAAATTACTTCTTGGATGAGAACATTTACTGTAAATACGCAGCTCCAACTAGGGCCTTACAAAATTAAGACTATTTCCAATTTGATATTAGTTTTGAATATTGAGATGATTACATTGTTTTTGTTTTTTTTAAACCATCCTTTTACTCACTACTGCTTATTGATCACCAAAATCTATAACAGGAGGAGAAATCTAGGGCAGTGAGGATCCATCCAATTGGTTATATAAACTCCCTGGATACTTTATTAAGCACAAATTCCCCAAGGAAGCATAACCAACAAAGTTTAAGTCCAAATAGACAAGATGACATCAAGCATTATCCGCAGATTGGACAAAAATGATGAGACTCTTGTTCCATTGTGACTGAGGGGGCATTGTGCTACAGCAAACCTTTGATGTTTTGAGTTTGAGGTTATTTGAATACTGCCAGGTAATGAATTATGCTTCTGAAAGTAGCAATTAGAATATGTGTACAGTGCAATAATGAAAGCTATAATTCTAAAGTGGGCCATTTTGTGGAACAACAATATTTAACTGCTTTTCAGGGGCTAGACGTATGCTGAGAAAATGTACCCCACACCGTTACATCATTACACCACAAACACCATCATGAATGATTGAATTGCGATAGGCTGGACCGTGATTCTGCTCTGTCTTATGTAATTTCTTTACAGTGGTACTGCTGTGTGTTAAGATATACATTGTTATGTTCAATTAGTTAGTCTATTCTCCCCTGACAGCAACTAGTTAGAGTTTTAAGTCAACAATGAGAATAGATCATACCACTTAACAGGCAAAACAGCAGTCTTGTTTGAGTTTGTTCAAGAAGCAAATGCAGTTTTGTGTTTACTTACAGGGCGTTTTATGTTCATAAATCTGGCTGTATGCCTCATTTCAGGATTTCACTCGTGTGAATACTCAATCTCTTCAGTCCAGTAGTGAGTTGATGGACCCCAGAAGGGAGTGAGAAGTGGGAAGGGAGCATTTTCTAATCTACTGTAATACTTATTAAACATGGAAATGTTGATCAACTTCTTAAGTTTTAAAGGTACCGTTTGTTAGTGTGGCTGATGGTAACGTAGGTTAATGTGGAGCCAAACTGAAGTTAACCACAGTATAGAAAAGTAGGAACCTGTAGCAAACTAGCCAACTGCTGTAGTGACTAAAGATTTCTTTTGCAAACTTACTAGGAAGTCAGAAATGTTTACATTATTACAGTTGCTGAACACATTTGCACGAACTAGATCCTTGTTTACACCATAAAAATATATCTTTGATGCGCCAGATCCATGCTTTTTTTTTTTTTTTAAAACACCTCTTATTTCAGTAGCCACGTTCACACTTCCATAACAGAAATTTAACCTTAACCTAACCGTTATTTTTTTGGATAATTATTGATATTGATCAATAAGCATTTTTATTTTAATCAATATGTTTCTTTTCTATATTGTCCAGCCCTGGGACAGTGTATCATTTTTTCACTTGTTTCCAAAATTGAAACAATATCCAAAATTTGACAGGGTCAAATCATGACTAGCCAACAAATAAATAAATAAATAAATAAGTGTTTTTGTTAAATGCACAGGAAGCAGAGCAGCAATCATTGCCAAAAGGCTGCATCCACTGTCAATCAAAATGCAAATTCTGTGCCACACATCATGTCCAACCTGTACACAGTGCTCTTAAAACTGAACAGATTAAACTAGGAATGGTAAATGCAGCCACAACAAAGATAAGGCAGTAAAAGGTATTCTCAGAGAGCTTTTTGTAAATTTTGCCAAAGTTATTTTTCCATTTCATGAGGAAGGGAGCACGATAGGCTTCCTACATCAGCATCCTCATCGTTTTACATTTCATTTTTAAAGCTCAGAGAAGATTGCAGTTTCACTTGATCAGTTTTCTGTTCTTCTGGGCTTCTACCACGGGTAAAGTACACTGTTTACTATATGTCCCAGTTTGTTCTGCTTGCTATATATGTGCTATACACTGCTATACACTGTGTGTGCGCTACCAAACGAGGCAACCATGGCCGGTTTACAATGCATTTCAGTGATTTTACTTTGCATTTTCCCGAAAGCGTGTTTTACTTGGCTAACATGGCTGTGTCCCTACGTCTGCTCTAACCCCTAAATCGCTATATAGAGCTGGGACTATATAGTGGACTTTATAGTGAGCTCAGTTAACTGATTGTTCGGACAGATGATCACTACTTTTTCTACCGCGACGCTGTCTTCCGACATCTTTGTTAGTTGTTGCAGCTACGACAAATCACATGATGATTTGCAAGTAGAGCTCTCACAAAGCAATCTGGGATATATCTGCTCATCTAATGGCATCCATGATCATTACTTTCAAAGGGCATTGTGGGAAATTTCAAGTCCACTACTTTTTCTTCCACTAGACGTTCAGACACTAGTCTAAAAATGGTGTAACTACTATATAGTGCCCTATATAGTAATTAGGGTGGATGTTCGGACACAGGAAAGGTCTCTCTTCTTGTGTACCTAAAGGCACCGCCCCCACATTGCTAGACAGAAGACCAGGAGTCTATTTAATCATGTGCATTCAAACCAGCCCTATGCAATTATACCAGATGTGTGTGTCATGATCACGTACAATACCATTTTCTGTCCGATTGGATACTAAATCTTGTCTGTTATATTTTGGGATTAACAAACATAATCATTTAGAATCTGTTTACCCAAGTAAACGATTATTCGTCTTCTAAATTAGTGGAAAATAAAAATATATGAATCCAATAAAAATAGTTTCAGTTCTTCTTGCAACCAGTTGCAGAAGTCAAAGCTGAATTTTCTCTTAACTGATAACAATATGCAGCTGTTTGGTAATAGGGCAGCACAATATCAGAAAAAAAAAAACAAGTACATAGTAGAAATTTCTGATTGTGATGATTGCAATTAAGCCAAATCTTCTACGATATACTTTCTTTTTTATTACAGGCATAGCCAGTGTGAATACATTTTCATTGAACTATAGCAACACATACAATTTATATTGCATTCAATTGATTTTTTGTGCACATTTGCATTGCAAAGGTGACAGTGATTGTATGCATTGTGCAGCTCTACATTGTATAAGCATATATAGGTAAATGCCCACCACCAGGTTTGAAGAGCGACTCACTCCAGCTAACAATTAACCAGATTGTAGCAGAGGTGCTGACTTACCACATCAGCTGCAGCACCTCTGTTCACCTCTGAGGATGGCGACTCAACCTGAGTGCAGGTCGTTGCTAGCAGGTCGAGGGGTGATGGCTGAGCGTCCTACCCCACAGTGGGGCAGTTTAAAGGGAAGAAAGTGGGTGGCCATTAGTCAGGGCCACACAGACAGATTGACTCATTGCTTAAGAATGAAAAGGACTTCAGCGTCCTGATATTGAGCCCCTCAGGCAGCACCTGAGTCAAATCCAGAACAGGGTTGAGCCTTAGGGGAGTTTTCAATCCATCCCGGTAATAAAAGAGGCGGGATTCATAAGGAGTGTTGCCTGAGAGGTTCAAGTGAGGGTATGAGAGCCCCCCTAACTTCCAAGTTTGAAATGCCCGAACTTCAGTGTTCGTCGCGTAGATGACAAGACCGCATCAGCGCCTTTAGACACTCCTAAAAACAAGGGTGAACCCTTACCTGATTGGCACTGCCTTCATCCTGCTGGATAAAACTGTCCTGACCGCCGTCCATTTCATCTGGTTTCAGTGGCTGTTCTGGAGCTGCGAGGAGAAAATAAGCAGGAGGTTAGCTCAGTAAAACAGCAGATGATGCTAATGTTAGCTACACATACCTGCCAATTACACACACGCGTTAAAGTTTCAGCGAACAAATAATCACAAACACCAAGACATTAATCGGCATTGGGCAGTAGTATTACTGAAAAAAGACTTAACTGTTCAGGTACACTGCGATAATTAGCTGTATCACAGACGAGCATCTGTGCTAGCCCGAGTTGGCTAGTTAGCTTCCGTAGGGTGAAGAATAATAAAGGAAAAAAAACATACCAGTCATTGCGTGACTTCTCTTTAAACGGAAAGTCCTAATAATCAGAAGCAACGGGGCATGATGAGCTGATTAAACTGATTGCATACGCGCAGAAATAGGTGATAACTGACTGATTTATTTCTGTTTTGATTGACGGGCGGCTTTTACACAAAGGGTGGGGCCTCCACTGTTGACTGCGCCACATACAGGAAATCCCACCGCTCAGCTGAAAGCTGATTGGCTGTTCTTTAGCTCTGGCCTGCTGCCATTTGTCGGTCCTGATGCCAATCACTCTTTGTTAGATTCTTACGTTTCAAGTTGAAGTGTGGGTGGCAGAGAATAAGGTAGTTACATTGTTTACCTTTAGTTATGTTGTTCTTACCACTGAGTCACAGAGAAGCCCGCGGGCTTATATTTTTACAATTAATAAAGCTTAGCTGCGAATTTATTATGCAATTCTATTGCATATTCCTTTATGATGCTATTAGTGAAACTAGCTGAGTAATAACCAAATAAACAATACACATAAACACATAGCACACTCCAATAAAAACAATTAAAACTGAGAGGGGGAAGATAATTAAAAGTAAAAGCTATTAAGTGAGAAAATTTGTAAAAAGCACACAATAAAATATAGAGGCCTAAGTGTATTAAAGTGTACTAGCATATTTGTCTGAAAAGAGGGCTGGTAGAAATATATGAAGATATGTACAGGAAACAACTGCAGAAATATTAGCATTTGAATCTGTTTTTTTTTTTTTTAGAACAGTCCTTAATAAACATCGTCTTTTTATATAAAATGACTGAATAGTCTATAGAGAACTGTTAAAATGACACCATGCAAAAAAAAAAAATTAGAGCACAATAAATTTTAACAAACCTTTTCCACATACATACGACAACTAACAATTGCATTTTAACTGAACAATACATATCTGTTTGTGGGGTTTAAAATAACTTTTGATATTGGTAACCCTAGAGCTATTTTCTATTTTTGTCCATTACACACCTCCGAATGTTCTGTTTGTATCCTGCATAATAGACCAACAAACCCAAAGACATGCAAACTGGTAAAGAGGAAGGAGTATGCGGCCTTGTTTTCAAATTATTTTCAAATAAATCTCTGAAAGGTGTGTATTTAGCATTAAGCCCCATGAATCAGTGCCTTGTTGATCCTGAATTAAGATATTTTCTTTGATTAATAAATGGATTAGGATTCATTCAGTCAGATTGGATTTGTAGCAACACGTTCCCCTATATTCCAAATTTGAGTTTGAGTTTGGCGTCTACTTAGGGCTTAATCATTACATTGTTGGATATGGTTCAAACTAGGGCTGAACTGTTTAGCCAGAAATCTAAATTGCAAAATTATTTATTTTTTCTTTTACACTAACCCCAAACTTGGAGATGTTTTGCTCCAGGCTTTTGATTTTTAAAAGATTGTTTGACCAGAGTCCATTGTTACAGGACTTTACTGCAACCATTGTGTAAAAAAGTGTTTACTTCTACTTGCATGCATGGATCTTCATCAGGGGTTGACGTTAAGGATTTTTATCACTTGCCCAAAGGGCAAGTGACTTTCACATTTCATTTGCCCAGAAACAATTTTTACTTGCCCAGTATAATGTTTGATAAATATAATTCCTAATATTCCTTTTTGTATATATATCAATGAAAC